TTTATTGGCACTATGAGCAAATAAGAACGCTAAGACTCAGAAGTTAAGGCACTAGCATAAGAGTTAAAAATTTTGAGGATAGAATTCAAGCCCAGGTCTTTTCTGATTCCAGAATCCTCCTGGCTTTCATGCAAATATTTCTTATCTCATCAATAGGGGTGCAAGTGTTCTGAAGACGCAGACCATTGTGTGCATAATACATTTCTATACTATGTAGCCTAGCGCCTTGCATCTGGTTAAGCTCAATGAATATTTAACCGATTGCTGTAGAGGGAGTGGCTTGGACAACAAGGAAGTCTGGAAGGCAGGGGAGATGTTTTAAGCGGAGGTAAGAAGTGTGTGTTAAAAGATGTCTGGAGTTAGCACAAGTCAGCAAGAGATGCCACCAGATTGCATGGATTTATCAACATGGTGCTAGCCCAAGTTCTCAAATTGTGGTTGCTGGACCAGCAGTATCTTCATCAACACCTGGAATTTTTTAGAAACACACATTCTCAGGCCTCACTCCAGACCTACTGAATAAAAAACCCTGGGAGTAGGCCCCAGTAATCTGTGTTTTAACAATATCTCCAGGTGGTTCTGATGCAGGCTTAAGTTTGAGTACCATTGTGGAATAATTTTTGTATTGCAAAGCATCTGTATAGCCTATTCAAGGACAGTTTGGGGACTCTGACAGTGTGAAGAAAAATATGTATTTTAAATTTAATATCTTGTTCATTCTTAGAAGAACACATTTGAAAATCTGTTCAGTGAATCCTGATCAGGTAGATTTTAGCTTAGTTCTGCCAAGTTTTTTTTTTTTTTTAAATGTTTGGAATTCAAAGATGTTCTTTTGAATTTTAAACATTAATGCAGAAGATAAGTATGATAGTGCAGACATCTTAATATCTACAATTAAGTGACTTGATTGAAAATAACCTCAGAAGGATGGGAAAACACTGCACTAATGGAATTAGCTGGATTCCCCCTGTTGACTTACTTTCACATTTGGCATTTGTCTGTGTCCACGTCTCATCAGGGTTGCAGGTAATGATGCCCTGGCCCTGGAGCAGGAAGCCTTCCCGACACTTGATAGACACATTCTGATCCACATAAAACTCCTTTTCAGAAAGCAGAGCATTCTCAGGGATCACAAAAGGAACAGGGCATGGATTTGCTGTTTAAAAAAAAAGAAAATGCTTACTAATATCTTTCCTCTTTTCCTAATTTATTTCTTTGAAGGCAGAGTAGGAGTCTTAGTAATGATAATACGAGGCTTACAAATATAGAACTTCAAACATTAAACACAGACTTGTTATGAATCCACATGAAATTATTTGTAAAGATAAAATCAGATAAGATCTGAAAACATCAAGTGAGTCGATCACTAATGCAAGGTCCTAAAAGTCTAAGATGGCAAATTAAATAGTTGTCTTAACACAACAATCATAACAATTCCTTGAACTTGTTAAGACAAGTGAACAGGTATAATGTTGATGGGGGGAAGGGGGAAGAGAGAGGGGGGAAAGAGGAATTGGTAAAGGGACACAAAAATCAACTACATTGTATATTGATAAATTAAAATAAAAAAACAAAACAGTGACAACTCATAGCACCATCAAAATAAATAGATAAATAAATAGTTGTCTGAAAATATGGCCCACAACGTTATTTTAGATTGTTTTTTGATCAGCACTGGGGAAACAAAAGGTATACTAGATATCAAGGGGCATGTCAAATATTCCCTTAATATTTGAAGAAAGTTAAGAACACAAAGTAAATGATTCTCACTGTCACTTTAATTTTTTTTAACTGAACATCCTCCAGAAGGATGAAACCAGAGAATCATCCGATGTTTGTGGGTGACTTGAATATGATATTAGACCCACACTACTAGAAGTAGGATATTAGAACTTAAATCCATCTTATTGATAAAGATGAATTCATTTTGATAGGTCTGAAGGAAGCAGGATATAGTGATGGCTCTAGGCTTGCTTAGTACAAGTGTGTGACACACTTATCAACACGTATTCCAAGCAATTTCAGTTCTTCTGATTTTAAATGGGAACAAAAGAAGTCTTGGTGACTGAGGTAGGCTTCTGTAGAATCTCAAAGGATGTTACAACATTATGACACTTTAAACAGTAACCAGAGCTCTCTCAGCTTATCCCTTGCTTGTGAATACTGTTTTCATTCAAATGGTTAAACTTATCTTTATTTAACTATATTTGGATATATTTTATTATATTAACATTACACTTTAAACATATTTTCTTTCTTCACCTCTTTCCTATCCCTGATAGAATTCATTGTCCATTTATGGCAAAAATTCTTAATTAAGTTGCTTTTTTCTCTTAGTGACTTAGACTTATAATCAATTATCCAAAGAACCTGATAAAAGCTGATTCTCAGACAAGATATTTTATATAACACAAGTAGATTTTTAAAATTTGGTTTAGAAGTTCATGGATTGCTTTCTCTGGTCCAATCACTTATCTGTGGAGTTTCATCTATGTTTTAGATATGTGGGAAGTTGATCATGAAACTGAATCTGATTAAAATCTCTCCTAAAGTCAACACACACGTTTGCAGAGAGGTACTGGGTGGCTCCAAGTTCCATTTTCAGTGCAGTGTGCCTCAGGCGCCCCTTCAAGGCTGTAGCCTCTGTTGCAGGAATAGACCACGCTGGGGCCAGCTGTAGTGTTTTGGACATCAGCCTTCCCATTCAGAAATCCAAGTGGACCTTCACATCTGGTCTCTAAAAAGAAGATAAAGGCCTTATATTAAATGCGTCTCCAAATCCTCTTTCCCTCCTTTGCTACAGTTGCTAAAGGTACTTAAAGTAATATACTCATACATGAGGCACAATGAGGGAAGAAAAAATAGCACGCTTAAGTACTGAATTAACACATGCAGGCAATTAAAGATTGCTATTTTGTCTTATTGACTCTAGTTGTCTTTATGTATATTGTTAATAATGCTGGAGGTAGTGGTCGTATGAATGAGCAGGTGGGTAAAATAAAGAAATCTCATTTGTTAATTTGCTACTATGGCTAGGAACTTTCCATACAATACCAAATTTATTTCTTACAACACTTGAATTGTACATCCAGATAAAATGCAGGATGCCCAGTTAAATTTGAATATCAAATAAAATAAATACATTCTGAGTATAAGTATGCCTCAAATATTGCATGGGATATTTATATTAAAATTACTTTTTAGCTGAAATTTAAATTTAACTGGGTGTCCTATATGTTTTTTCTCTCCTAAATCTGGCAACCTTACAATAACTCTGATATCATCTCGTTTAACAGTTGAAGAAAAGTGAGGCTCAGAGAGGTAAATAATTTGGTCAAGGTCATAATGTTTGTAAAGAGAGATAAAAGATAAACTTAATGGAAGTAGAATATAATAAGACAGTATAAAGAACAGGTAACCATGAGATTAGGGGAAATTTAGAATGAGGGACATTATATATGATTTTCTAGGCATATGCAGGCTTCATAAACTGATGGGATTATAGTGAAGTTATGAGGAATGATTTTGCCTCAGTGAGAAATATTATTAATAGTTATGTGCTATGGGGGAAGTAGGATTATTTCTAGAATTTAAAAAAGTGGGCTTGAGTCTTAATTTTACAATCTTTGTGAAGGCAGAAGAGGTGATTCTAGACCAGCGGTTCTCAATTCTGGCTGTACATTAGAGTTCCTGGGAAGCTTTTACACCTAAGACCTTACCCCTGACCACATGAATCAGATTCTCTGTGTGGTGGCCTAGCTTTTGGTATGTTATTAAAATTCCCCAATTGATTCTAATGCTAACTCAGAGTTGAGAGTTTCTGGATTAGATGCTAACTGACTTCTTTGGGCTTCTTTCAGCTTGGTGAGCCTTACATGCCCTGGGACCACGGATCTAAACCTTGGCTGTACTTTGGAATCACATGGGGAGCTTTTAAAGGTATTGATGCTGGTCCCATCCCAAGAGATTCTGATTTAACTGATATAGGTGTAGACTGGGCATTGGAAATTTTCAAAGCTGCCTAGGACATTCCAATGTGCTGAAGGCTAAAAAACATTGGTCTAAGGCAGTGCTCCTCAAACTGTAAAGTGCATGGGAATCATCTAGGGATCTTGTTAAAATGCAAATTTTGATTCAATAGGATCAGAGTGAGGGGCCAGAGATTTTTAATTTCGAAGAAGATCCCATGTGCTATTGATGCTGCTAGTCTGTGGGTCATACTTTGAGAAGCACTGGTGTAGAGAATCCTACTGACTCGAGTGGGTTTCCTTGAAATCTAATAGATAACAGAAATCAATATATTTAATAATTTAGTAAATTACATAGGGATCTTTCAGATCAGGCTGCTCAGTATAAGCACTCTTCCTCAAATAATTGTATTTTTTATGCCTAGGAAAAAAACGTACAATAAAATATATCAAAATATCAAACTTTTTTTATCTGAGTGGTGGGATTAAAATTATTATTTCACTTTTGTTTATTTGTGTTATCTAATTTTCTGCAATGAACTTGTATGACTTATTTGATAATTTAGAAAGAAAAAGAAAAGGAAACCACAAGGAATAATAGAATACATAGATTTTCTATTACTGTCTTGCACTTCTGAGATGAAAACTGTACAAACCAAAGACTGTAATTTGAACTGAACCTGCTGGAAACAGAAACAATCCCCTTGCCAACACCAAGAAGGTTTCCAATGCTAGACATATATGTTTCCTTCTCATTCCCCACTCGCCTCCCCTGTACATACATACATACACTTTTTGATTATGAGTAGTTGAGATAAAAATCTGTAACAGTATTGTTCAAAGTCTTAAATAAATGATGCATTTCTGTGTAGTATTTATACAAGTTTTTGGGAACTAAAAACAGTCATTATTCTCTACTGAGTTGCAACCATGTATTATTCCTTAAAAGACTTAAGATTCCTACACACACAAAATCATCTCGTTCATCTACCACAGAAGATATGGTTGAAATGACAGTGAGCAAGGATGCAAGATCCTGGCGTCCTAGTGCCAGCTCAGCCACTAACTCGATCTGAGATATTGGGCAGGTCACTTCACCTCTCCTAGTCCCCACTTACTCATTTGTCAAAGGGGCTGGACTAGATCATCTAAGAGGCTCCTTCCAGTTTGAAAATTTGATGACTCCACTATTGTTAAGGGGAAAAAGTTAAAAAAAAAAAAGCTTGCCACTTTGATTGGTTTGAAACCACTGTATCTGAATATCTGTCTTTTGGCAGAAGAAGCATATGAGGCATATAGTGGGAGTAAAGACATGTGAATTAACCCACATGTTGCCAGATAAACTGGGCTGTTCTCATAGAATGAGTTAACGTAAAATCCCACACAAAACGTGAATATTCATTTATCTGATACATGGACCAACAACATTTAAAAAAGATGTCAGTAGTGGTCAGTGTGGTCTCCAAAAAGCAATAGCTCTAAGTCTTCCAATTTATAATTATTTAAGAAAGGAACCCAACAAAAATGCAAATAAACTCAATAATTAACTAGTTTCTAAACAAAACGTTTGCTATTCCAGAGTCAGTAATCTTGTTCTCTATCCTAATTTAATTATTAACATCTATTACAGTTTTTGACCCTTTCATTGATTTTGTGCCCTTGAGCAAAAGCTAATTAAATGTTCTCATACAGTTTATGGAGTTGGTTTAAAAAACTTTTTCTTTTAAAAATTACGAAACTGATCTATAAAGAAAATGTAACCACACTATTATTTTGTGTCCTCAGTTCCTCATTTTTGGAACTGCTGTCATTTGACTTACTTTTGCACGTAGCTATCCCTCCAGTCCACTGTCTGTTCTCCCGACAGACACGTTCCCTGTTCCCCTGTGAATCAATGGAGAAAGGTCACTGACAAGATCATAACTCTGTAACAGAAAGATAATAAAGAGACTGCAAAGTAATCTTAGCTGTGGACTTGAACAGCCTTGGAATGTTAGATAAATTCATTAAATAAATATTGTTTAAGGAGCAGATTTAGACTTTCAAAAATGTTTTCATCAAATTACTTCAAAATTTATACCCTGGCAGACTAGTGTAATTAAGGTACAGACTTTGCTTCAACTTCTATTTCTAATGATAACCAATTATAATCTGTAGAAAAGACTGATAAAGAATGTGTTAGAAATGTCAAAGAGGTGTATTTACTAAATATCTTTAAAAAATATTTTGAAGTATATTTATCTTTCAAGACCTGCGAGGTCCAGCAAGGAATATGAATTGGTTTTTTTGTACCCTTGAACATGGTATAATGATTGAATTTTTCAACAGTGTAACTTATCTATTAAATATAAACTTACCCTATTAAGGGCCCAAGCATTTAAAATTTTAAATATTCTAGATAAAGTCTTTCTAAAATTTACTTCCCTGTCTTCTAAGATCTAATTTGCTTGAAAAATAATTTATGATTATTATTCTGAATATATTTTTCAATATCCCATAGCCCCTGAGGACTATACAAGCTGTTTGCCCCCTACAGTTATTAGGCTAAGGTTACTGTTCTTTGATTCCAGGATATAATTTTTATTAGTCTTTGCTTTCTCATTCTCTATTGTTTATATCTTACTGTAATCATCAGTGTTCTTGGTGGTAATTCTTTTCCATGCTTTACATTCCTAATCTACTACGGAATAATAAATAAAATAAGTAAAGGTTTGTAACAGTGTATGTTTAAAAAACAGATTAGGTACTAAGTATTAACCTATTAATGTCATAAGGGGCTTGACTCTAAGTCAAGTACAGTATATGAACTTCAGCACATGGACGTTTTGACATGTTTTTTCATTGCTTAGAGCCCTTTGGATGTCTTTTTGTCTTGAAGATGTGTTCCAAATCAGCAAGGTGTCTGAAAAGAAGCCATCGCTTTACTTTAGTTTTTATCTGCACTGAATGTCTTTCTTTTTCTCCTTTTTAAAGGGATTTTCTTTGCACCGTCAGTATAATTACTGATGAATCTTTACCTGTAAAAATTCTATTGACTTTGGTGGGAGGGTACTGTCCTGATTTTCCAAGAAAACAATTGATTCTATAAAATTAAGTTGGTTCTTATAAACACGTATTCTTTATTTTCTTCTTATTGAAAAAGTAATGTGTCCATTATAGAAAGGTTGGAAAATATGAAAGAAAAACAGAAAATTTTCCAGGATTGCAGAGAAAAACACTGTTAATATTTGCTCTACTTTTTCTATCCTAATATATTTATGTATGAACAGGAAAACATACTTTTCTAATTTGCAAATTTTTTTTTATTAATTTCGAGGAAGTAGATGACAAGTCTTTAAAACTAGCTCCCTAACCAACTAACTAACTATTTGGGTACTTCCAGAGTAGACTGTATGTAGTCAAGTAGCCAATTTTTGCCAATAGTTTAGCATTTCCCAGTACTATTTTTTCTTTTTTCTCTTTCTTCTAGTGATTTGAATGATAAATATCCTGTTTTAACTGTCAATTTTTATTTTAATAAAAACTCAAATCATCATTAACTATTGACTTAAAAAATCAAACACCATCTGTTGTTGCCATCCTTAGTAAGTTGAAAAATTTGTTATGCTTTTCTTTCTTTCTTTTCTGTCCCTTATCTTGTTTTTGATGAATTAAGCTGGAGTTTTAGATCCAGGTTAGCATTAAGGTTTTTTTGACCTAATGTATCTGCTTTTTCAACAATTAGCTTAGATACTTGTATTAAGCTTTAGAACCATAACCACCACCTTATTGTTTATTAGCAGCGATTTTATAACATGACTATCCCATTTTTGACTTCTTTATTTTATCCCTCAATTGGCTTTAGCAATTTTTTTCTGGAAGTCTGCATGTGTAGTGAAATTTTTGAGATTTAAATTTAGGTTCAAAAAAGTTGTGGACCTCACATACAAACGACAACTTATTTATGTAGTAGAAGAATTACAACATAATTTATATTAGTTGTCCTAATTGCTTTGTTTGATTTGGTAATAACACAAACACTAGAAGTGATCACAATAACTTCCCAACGTTGAACCAGACAAAGCTTTAGAGGTGATGATTGCCACTGTCTGTTTCTCCAGCCATCATGGTAACTTAGCAAAGGTGGTTATTGTATTTCTACCATGAACATGTTGAAACACAGGCTCCGAGAGGTTAGGTTAGTTCTCCAACATCATTCATCCAGTAGAACACAGAGCCTGTTAACAGAAATCTGCCAGGACTAAGTCCTTATTTTTAACCACTTCCCCAGCCCTTTGGCATCTGGGGTGCTTGTTAAAAAGAAATAAGAATGTATTATATATTTCAAAATAACTAAGTGGATGAGTCTGGAGAAAATTATTCTAAGTGAAACAACCCAGGTACAGAAAGAAATACTGCATGTTCTCCCTCATAACCAGGAACTGAATCCATAAATAAACAAATGAACAATAGACAGAGAGAAAGAAAAAAAGAACAATAATCACAGTAATATGTTTAACTTTTAGAAAACTAGAGGTGGAAGAGGAGAGGACGGGGGAGGGAGGGGGCTAGTGAGGAATTGGTCAATGGACACAAAGAATGATTGCATATTGTAATGATGAATAAGCTAACTATCCTGATCTAACCACCACACACTGTACACAACTATTGAAAATCAACATTGTACCCCATATGTATGTATAATAAATTATCTAAGAAAAATAAATAAATAAATAAATAAAGGCATGAGACCAAGTCATAACTGTTACATAATCTTAAAAGTAAATAAATAAAATAAGAGTACCTTTCAAATGTCTCACCATAAAAAATGATAGGTAGGTGAGGTGACATATCAAAACATCATACTGCACCCCACAAATGTAAACAATTATATTGATTTGACAATTAAAAACAATATCAATAAAAATTCATTAAATACATTAAAAAATGTAAACCCCCTGGTCCTATTTTGGTTCAGAAGGTCTTGGCCTAGGAGTATACACCCCTTATCTTTTTATGACTTCTCAGATGATTCTGAAGCAAGTGGGAATAAGCCACACTTGGAGAAACACTGAATGATGTCATAGAGCAGCAATTCTCAGTCCTGGCGGCACATTAGAATCACCTGGCGAACTTTGAAAAAGATACTGCTGCCTCATACCCAGCCCACAGAGATACCGAATTAATTAGTCAGGGGTGAGAATAAGCATTTGCATTTTCTACAAAAAGCTGTCTTATGGAAAAATTCAAACATGAAAAATACAAGAGTAGAACAGTATAAGAAATTCCCAGGTAGACATCACACAGCTTATTCAATTAACTCAAGGCCAACCTTGATTCGTCTAATCCCCACCTCCTTCCCACAAACCCACATTATTTTGAAGCAAATGCCAGACATCAAATCATTTAACAGTAATTATTTCAGTATGAACCTCTAAAAGGTAAGGGCTTGTAAAAAAATTATAACCACAATATTATCACACCTTAAAAAGTAACAATTGGGGCCGGCCCGGTGGCGCACTGGATAGTGCGCCGCTTGGGAAGCGCGGCGGCGCTCCCACACGAGGGTTCGGATCCCACATACAGACCGGTTCCCGCTCACTGGCTGAGCGAGGCATGGGAGCAACACCGAGGGTTGCAATCCTGTTGCCGGTCCCCGGTCCGGTACGGGGGCAACACTGAGGGTTGCGATCCGTTGCCGGACACGGAAAAAAGACAAAAGACAAAAAAAAAAAAGTAACAATTGGGCCGACCCTGTGGCTCACTCGGGAGAGTGCGGTGCTGCTCTCCCGCCGTGGGTTCGGATCCTATATAGGGATGGCCGGTGCGCTCACTGGCTGACACCAAGCCAAAGGTTGCGATCCCCTTACCAGTCACAAAAAAGAAAAAGAAAAAAAAAAAAGCAACAATTCCTTAATATTAATAAAATGTCCTGGCAATGTTCAACTTTCCAATTTTTGCATAAATGTTTTAATTTTTTTTAACAGTTCCTTCAAATCATGACCAAAATGAGATCCACACACTGAGATTGGTTTATGTGTCTGTGATGGTTAACTTTATCCGTCAACTTGAGTGGGTCACAGAGTGCCCAGATGAAACGCTATGTCTGTGAATGTGTTTCTGAATAAAATTAGCATGAATTGGTGGACTCAGTAAAGTAGATTGCCTTCCCCAATGTGAGTGGGCATCACAAATCCATTGAGGGACTGAAAAGAACAAAATGTGGAAGAAGGAAGAAATTGCCCGTTTTTTCTCGTCTCACTGCTTGAGTAGGGACATCTCATCTCGTCTCCTGTCCTCAGACTGGGATGTACATCATCAGCTCAACTGGTTCTAGGCACTGGGACTTGGACTGAATTACACACCAGCTTTCCTGGCTCTTGCTAACTTGCAGGTAGCAGATCGTGGGACTTAACCTCCATAATTGCATGAGCTAATTCCTCACAATAACACTTTCTCACTCTCTCTTTCTCATTGATTCTGTTTCTCTGGAGAATCCTGACTAATACAATGTCTCTTATATCTCTCTAAATCTATGGGTTCCTTCTCCATTTACTCTCCTTAACTCTGCCAATTTGTTTGTCTCAGACACTGGAAAACTGGACCATTTGTCCTGTAGATGTTCCCACAGACAGGATTTTGCTGGTTGCCTCACTGTGGTATCTCTGATACTGTTTATTGGATTAGAGGCTTGATAAGATTCAAATTCAATTTTGCGGGGGGTGGAGAGGCAAGTTGTTTTCATAGATGTGGTTGTGTTTTTTCATCCAGAGGCACATAATATCTGGTTGTCTCTATTTTTTGTGACATTAGCAGCCATGGATAATCATAATCTAAATCCATTAAATCATGGGAGTTGCAAATTTTGCTATTTAAATTCTATCATTTATTAACAGGAATACTTCCCCTCATCTACTATTTGGTTATCTAGTTATTCAGTTAACATTAAGAAGACAATTCTTACCCTTTAGGTATCAGTTTTCAAAATAATGAGTCTGTACATGAGCATCCTCGTGAGTTACCAACTAATTTTTTTTAGTATCATTATGAGTCTAGTATCATTCATGACGTATTTGATGTTTCAATCCACTGAAATTATCTGTGTTTATGCTAAAATCATCTCACCTTGGCCTGTGGGTGTCTTGTCCAGTTGGTTCCTGAGTCCTTTGATGCAGCATCATGTAGTCTTTGACAGGTTCCCTGCTATCTTATGTGACAAGAATTTCTAGGCAAGTTTACATTTCTTGCCCCAGACCAGGCATCAGTTATTTCTCTAAGTAACTGGACATCGATATTTTTAAAAAGTTTCTTGGGTGATTCTAACATGTAGCTTGAAATGAGAACAATTGCTATTGTAAATCTTTCAATTTTGTAGTCAACACTGGGGTGTTTCTAAAAATTTTAAAGTAAATGATTTACCTCTTCAAATTTAATGACCCATCTGTTTGCTGTATATTTGTTCATAATCCTATACCACTTTTCTTCTGAATAAATAGCAAGATTAGCACTCTCACATGAACAACTAAGTTTCAAAAACAGGAAAACTCTCCAATTGCAATCAATCATTATATTATCCTTCCTTTTTTTTTCTTTAACCTTTTGAGGAAATACAACAAGAACCATATAAGCCTAGTTCCATCTTTCATAAATCGACCTTATGAAATTCTTTGACTGCATGGTCCATGACACACAAATTTAACAGATAACTGAAAACCCAGATGACAATTTTATGTAACATAAAACAGGCCTGTTAAATTTCAAGTTTGGGCTGGTTAGCTCACTTGGTTAGAATACTCTGCTGAGAACACTAAGGTCAAGGAGTCAGATCCCCATACGGCTAGCTGCCAAAAAAAAAAAAAAAAAAAGAGAGAGAAAAACCCCCCAAAACAAAACAACAATAAAACCCTCCAAAAACAAATTTCAAGCTTGGGAATACAATAATGCTTTCAGCAGAATTGATGTTAGCCCTCCCACTAATGTAAATAGGGAGACCTAGGTGCTGCTGATGGGGTTTAATGTTACAAACAAAGAGTGGTCTCAAGAATGAAGTTAGTATTTGGTTAGAACTGCTCTGAGGATTTTTCAGGCCAGATCTGCCATATGGTAACTTGGCATCTCAATGTCAAGATATATCAGCCTATTGCTTGAGAAAATTCTAGCTTTGCAAGCCTAAATCCTTGTGGTTACCTCCCCATGGTCACCTCCCCGTGGTCACAGGTAGACTTCCCTGTTCTCATGATTATGAGAAAGCCAAAAACAAGTTTAAATGGTCAGTTGAAGTAACAGTATCTGTTTTGTGGTTTTGAAAACTTAATCTTCCCTTTTGTGGCTTTTGTTTTGTTTTGTTTTTAATTTGAGACTTATTCCGCTTTTTAAAATTGTAAGTCAAAAAAAAAAAATTGTAAGTCACCTTAAATACTTCTTGGAACATGTTAGAGTATAAGGCAACAAAGCATCACAGAATCTCTTAGGACCAAAGTCAGTGAAACAAATTTGTGCTAATACTAAAAATATTCTTAAGTATATTGGAAAAACAAATTAATTCTAGCTAAATAGTTTGTTTGCTTACCTCTAATTCATAGCCAGGTTCACACTGATAAATAATTGTGCTTTCAAAGCTGTATTTATTTCCAACCACAAATCCATGTTCTGGAATTTCTGGTTTCCCACAAGAAACTGGACTGCAAGATTCATCAGAAAATGGAGGCTCCCAAGTACCATCAAGCTAGGTTAAAAAAAAATTACATTTAGGAGTTAATACACATGAAGAATTGGTTATATGGCAGAATAATCCCCAAAATGATAGTCAAAAGGACGTAGAGTTTGATCGTACTTTTGTTACTTACGATCTGTGACCTTAAAAAACACTTTAATTATTAGATGGTCTTAGTAGTCATCACTAAACAATTTTAGACTTTTCTTAAGCATATAAAACAAGCATTTTCTTCCTAACGGAATCCATTAAAAAAAAATCAAGAACACCAAATGGTATGTTTTTATTAAATTGCATGAAGACTGGAAGGTTGGTACAATATTCCATGACTTATACCAATGTGCCTTTATACTTCACATGATTTCTCATTTTAATTTAAAGTTTATAAGAAACAGCAACTTTTAGGTATATTACTCAAAGTTTAAGAAGATGGCTTCTTTTTCTCCATTCCAACATGAACACTTGAAAATATTCTATCAAATATTTTTGAAAGGGTCACATAGTCAAATTCAAATATATGTATCTCCTTTTTTACCACCATAGTTAGAGTTTAGCATTTTTCAGGCTTCTAGTTGGGTAAAGCAAGGCACACAGATGTTTCTCTTGAAGGTTACTCTATTGCTATCGTTTTTCTGTTTTCTTTGAGGAAATAGTATATGATTTGGATAACAGTTTAAAACAGCATTTGAGGCTAGATCTGTTATTCTACATATGAGCAGAATAATTTTGTGTATATGCCTGCATGATAATTAACCATTCCCTTGATGTATATAAGTTGTATTTAATTTTTTAGTACTGTAAATAATTCTTCAATAAACATATTTTTTGCATAAATCTTTCTGGATATTGCTAGTAACCTTTTAAAGTTATGTCGTATTGTTTTCTTTTAGTATCTTAAGGGCTTATGTTGGTTATTTTAATTTTTCCACAATGATTAATTAATTGTATCAGAATACTTTATTAATAATTCCTTTCTCCAGAGACTTGTGATAATTCATTTATCAGGGTCTATTTCTGACTCATTTCTTCTGTTCTGTTCATTTTTCCGTCTATCTGACTTTACATCAATACCACACTGATAGAAATGTTGTAATTCTGTAATATGTCTTAATTTATGGAGAGATTGGTACTCCTTCACTATTTGTTTTAAAAAATTCATATTGATTTCCTCGTCTATTTATTTGTTCTATGAACTAGAATCGTTTTGTTATATAACAATAAAATATTTCTAAGAACTGAACATAGTTTACACAATTTATGCATTTAAACACTTAGGAAGGGTCTATTCTGTCTTCCAGACCAAAAAATTAAAACTCTTCACTAAAGCTGGAAACACATTTGGCATAGCCCATGGCTGATTTCTACACAATAGACACTCTTTTGTACAAAAGATCTATGGTTAATTTGTCATGAATACCTTGTTATATATTTTAACATTTTATCTAACTCTGGTACTTCCTTAGTTTAAAAGTGGGAATATTGGGAAGAAAGAAACATTTTATTATATTTCTACCAAGAAACTTCTCAAATCCTTTGGCATGAGTGAAAACTTGAGGCATTTTTGGGCCGGCCCGGTGGCGCACTGCTACAGTGCGCCGCTTGGGAGCGCAGTGGCGCTCCCGCCGAGGGTTCGGATCCCACATACAGACCGGTTCCCGCTCACTGGCTGAGCGAGGGGCGGGCGCAGCACCTAGGGTTGCGATCCCGTTGCCGGTCCCAGTCCGGTACGGGCACGACACTGAGGGTTGCGATTCGTTGCCGGACACGAAAAAAGACAAAAAGGAAAAGAAAAAAAAACTTGAGGCATTTTTGTTTCTTTTCAGGACAGGAAGATACTGCATGCATGGCAATACACGTACATGTGGAGTTACACGTTCTTATTAAAAGTCTTACCTGACAGGTTGATATGTTAACTCCCTTATAGGTATACCCTTCTGCACATGACACAGAAACTTGCTTATTCACACTGAAATCGTCCCCATGAACAAGTACATGTGTTATGTTTGCTGGCAGAGGACATTTTTTAGGACTGCAGGAGATTCTTTCAGGGAACCAACGACCATCCTTCTGACAGGTGAATGTATCTATATCTGTATCCATTGCATAACCTTCCAGACATCTGCAATAAAAATGCAAAAATGAGTGCCTTAAAGAGAGTACAATATAGTTCCTGACCTATTCTTGGATTTAAGAAACTGTTTACGAGGCTCAATAGACATTTTATGCAATATATTAAAATTAATTCAAATGTCAGATGGATGGCATTGTCATGAAAAAACACCAATATAACAATGATAACCAGATCAACCCTCAGTTATCCACATTAAAGATTAGCTAAGAATAAAGTTGCTTTAAATGTTGGTGATGTTATTACCTTTGTTCTGAATATCATTCTTAAATTCATTTTTATTCTAAAACAGCTAACAATTCATGAAATTCTAGGCAAAGTCCAAAACAGACTCAGACATTAGTAGGAGTATAACAAAATTAATATTTATTGAGTATCTACTTTGTGCCAGATGCTGTCTTTTACATAAGGTATTCCTCTTAATCCTGAGTATTAGGTATTTTCATATTAATTGTAGTACTGGTATTCAAACTCAAGTCAACTTGGCTCTAAAACCATCTATGATTTTTAAAATTTGCATTTATTTATTCAACAAACATTTACATGACACATTAAGTTTCAGTTACTGTTCTAACTGCTCTACAAATATTTACTGATTAAATTCTCATATCATCCTCATGAATAGGTGCTATTACTATCTTTATTCCCATTTTGCAGATGATAAAATTCACACCAGAGAGATTAAGTAGCTTCCTCAAAGCCATACAGCTAGGCAGTGATAGAACTGAGTTCCTACCTACTATTCAAAAGGCAGTGAAGTACGTGGTGAAAGCATGGACTCTAGAAGGAATCTAGCTCTAGAGTCCATGCTTTTACTACTATATTCCACTGTCTTTTAAATTAAACCATTTAATTAATGAACACTTATTAGATGGATAACATATTTTAAATTTCACAAATTACCAGGGTAGGTACGAGTCAGGTTTTGCAAACTTGGGGTGATCTGTTTATCTGATACTGAGTAAAGATCAGGAAGGTGATGTAATCAACACATAGCAGGGAATAAAAACAAGGAAGTCCAGAGAAGCAGGTGATATTGTGGCTTCTCAAGATATGCAACACACCAACATCCAAATACATATTTTAAAATGTATTTCAAAAGCAAGGAATATTTTTTCTGTTCAGTGTATGACCCACTACTCTGGCTTCCTTACCATTGTGGCCCTCCCTTGCGTCAACTTCTTACTGCGATTCATAAAATATGAAGATGGGGCTAAAACTTCTGCAACACAAATGCTTAAGAAGACTTGTTGAATTGCTAATCAAATTTAACATGCCAATATGTGAAGGACAATGCATGATTCATTCAGAGATGTGAATAAAATTTAAATTATCTTAGAGTGTTGCAATATCTTTGAACATTATGTGTATTTATTCCGATAAAAAAATTAATTCATAAATTCATTCCATATTTTCTCATCTTTTATTTTAATAATACATTTTAGATATGGAACTTTCTAGCAAAAATCACTATTTGGGCATTAAATGCTTAGTTTGTTCAGATAGCATAGGTTGGTTGTCCCCTTTAGAATATCTCTTTTATTTATATTGGCCAATGAAAGTATGAGCTTTTTGGCATGAATTCTTAGTTTTTTCCCTTATTTACCCAACACTTGCTTGTATAAATATAACCATAAAGTTATAATCATAAAGAAATTTACCCTCATGGCATTTAAAAAAGAGCTTCATGATTCAAGAGCTATTCAAGCTTAGCTAGAGGATCTTGCTGCTTCAAGAAGGTCAATAGAATATGATAGTCAAGATAATTATATTGGAAAGTACAGTATGAAAAAGTGTTAATTTGTCTTTTAGTCAGTGGGTTTCTATGTAATTGTGGGTAGAATAAAGCCAAGTTTTAAAAGCTATGTGTTTTGGAAAGCAATCCAGAGATGGTGTTTTCTTCCCAATTAGCTAAATTTTTGACCTACAACTTCATTTTACAACCTCCTACCTGCACCCCTTGGAGACTTTAGAGCCATGGTCTTACCTGAGTTTCACTTTACTTTCATAGGTGTGTGCCTCTCCAGTTGCCACCGCATTTGTGACAGATGGTGGGGGACCACAGGACAGGGGCTCACAGACAGGATAAGGCTGGCTCCATGTCCCTTTCTCTGTACAGATCAGATCTGAACTGCCTTGTATCATGTACCCTGATCTGCAGCTGTAAGTTATCACACTGTCCTCTGAAGAGCTACTGTCACTAACGAGTGCATTTGGTATCACTGGGGGAGAACCACAAGAAGGGTGTTCACAGTATGGGAAGCCAGAGCTCCACTGGCCATTGTCTTCACAAATGATTTCAGAAAGTCCCAGGAGCTTAAAGCCTTTGAAGCACTGAATCCGGGCTGCCTTTCCACAATGAAAATCTGTCCCATTGACAGATCCATATTGAATTACTGGTATAGAACACCTGCAAGGAAGGCAGGAAGGTGAGCTGCCACTCCAGGAGCCATTGGAGAGACACCTTCTTGAAGAACTTCCATGGAGCTTATAACCAGGAAAGCACTGATACTGTATGTGTCCCCCATGATAAAAGGAAAAGCCATTAGGGAAGTCATGGTCAAGGTCTTCAGGAGGCCCACAGTTGACTGGTTTGCAGAGAGGAACCTCGGCATCCCAGTTGCCATCTGACTGACAGGTGAGTTTTGAAGCACCATGCAGTATGTAGCCCTCCTGACAGTGGAACACCACTTCCTTCCTGAAGCCATAGTCCAGGCCATCCATCATGCCATTTGCCACCTGTGGTGGTGTGGCACATCTGACAGGTACACAGTTGGGAGTGGCTCCGCTCCAACTTCCATTGGCAAGACAAGCACGACTACTGGCTCCCTCAAGCAAGAACCCTACGCTGCAAGTGTACTCAATCTCTTTTTGGAATGTGTACTCATCTCCTTTCACCTGGCCATTGGCTGAGACTGGGGGTGAGCCACAGTCCACAGGAATGCACGTGGGCTCATTCCCATCCCAGTTTTTATTTTCTTGACATGTTCTCCTTTCAGTGCCATTTAGCATATACCCAGGGTCACACTCATAGTACAACACACTCAGGTATGTGTAGTTGCTTCCTTTAATGGATCCATTCATGACTGAATTTGGCTTTTTGCATGAAATGGCTTCACAGTGTGGGGAAGCACCACTCCACTTCCTGTTCTGTAGACAAAGTCTCATGGGGGAACCCACTAGATTGTGTCCAGGTTTGCAGGTATACTGCGCAGCACTGCCCATGGCAGTCTTTGTAAAATGCAAAAAGCCATTTTCAGGAGCAACAGGCAAGTCACATTCAATCAAAATGCAGGAAGGTGCACTGCCATTCCAAGTTCCATCTTCCTGGCAAGTCAACACAGGGTTCCCCAAAAGTTCATATCCTGGATTACAGTTATATAAAATCATGGTGCCAAAGAGAAAGTTTGATAAATGTGTAGCAGGAGACTCCTTTGCATTTTCCCAGGTTTTAGCCACTGCTCCCAAATGATGAGGAGGGCGAGGAGTCAGATACGGAGCTTCCATTATGTCATCTTCTTGGTCAAAATATCCCTGGCCATCTTTGACTTTAATACAGTCTCCAAAATCTATGTGAGGAGGGAGACCACAGTCTATGGGGACACATGTTGGGCTGGAGCTTGACCATCCTGACTCTCTACAGGACTGCATGGCATGACCAGCCACCTGGAACCCAGGGAAGCAACTGTAAATGATCATGGCACCGTAGCTATAATCTGCACCTTCTACAAAACCATTTTCAATGGGTTGTGGGGGATTACAGTGGATGGCATTGCAAGATGGAGCATCCACATCCCAATCCCCTGTCTCTAAACAGGTCAAGCTTTTAGGACCTTCGAGTCGGAAGCCTTCATCACAAGAGTATGTAACGGTCTGTCCATAGTGGAGGTTTGTGTAAGAGAATTTGGCATTCAAAATCTCCTTGGGCTTTGGGCACTCAATGGGCTTACATGTTGGTTTTCCTCCAAGCCAGTGACCATCTTCTCCACATAGGATGGTAGTATTTCCCACCAACTCAAAGCCTGGCTTGCAGGTATAGAGAGCTGTGCTGAGATAGGCAAGACCTTGCACATCAATGATGCCATTGAGGATTTCCTCAGGTTGGGGACATTCTACTGGAACACATTCTGGCAGTGGAGAGCTCCAGGTGCCATCAGCTTGGCAGAGAATGGTAGGATCTCCTCTTAGGAAAAACCCGTCTACACAAGAATACTTGACAGTACTTCCAAAATGCAGAGCAGAAGGAGCAGGGACACCGAAGGAAATTAGGGGAGGCGGGAGGCAAAGAACCATCTTACACACGGGAAAAGAATCATTCCATTGCTGGGATGGCAAGCATTTCAGGACAGAGGGGCCTTGTAGGGCGTGCCCTTCTTTACAGGAAAACATGACCACTCCGACCTCAGTAGTCAACTCCTTCAATACCAGCTGGTTTTCCGAGATGGGTGGCTCTGGGCACTTGGCGGGCACACACTTTTGGTTTGGCTTTTTATTCCATTTGCCAGATTTCTGGCATGTCCAAGAATCATCACCAACAAGCTCATAACCCTCATTACAGAAAAACTGAACCTTGGACCCTACGTCAAAATTTTCTCCTTTAAAGAAGCCATTCTGGATTGGCGGAGGTTTTCCACAGTTGAGAGGGAGGCACGACAGAGGGGATTCACTGTGCCAGTGGCGATTAGCTTGGCAGACAAATACAGGACTTCCAACGGGCTTATAGCCTGGGTTGCACCCATATCTCACTTCACTTTCAAAGATTCTGCCAGTTGTATACTGTGTAATAGAGAGAAAACAAGTGAGTACAATTTGTGTAACAGATAATACAGCTAAATACTTGAGTAGTAAAAAAGAACTAAACTAAAAGGTCTACATTAAAATGAATCAATTAGAACTTAAACAAATAAGAATTTATATTTTTTTCCAATAGGTTCACCATAGTTTTTTTCTTTTTTCTCCTTTTTGTCTTTTTTCGTGACCGGCAATGGATCGCAACCCTCAGTGTCACGCCCGTACCGGACCGGGACCGGCCACGGGATCGCAACCCTCGGTGTTGCTCCCGCCCCTCGCTCAGCCAGTGAGCGGCCGGTCTGTATGTGGGATCCGAACCCTCGGAGGGAGCGCCACCGCGCTTCCCAAGCGGCGCACTATAGCAGTGCGCCACCAGGCCGGCCCCATAGTTTTTTTTAATAAGTGAAAATGATAGTAGAAGATCAAATTGGTAATCCTACTGCAGACATGTTCACCACAGTGCTGAGCCCATAGTAAGTAAAAGGTCAATAGACTCTGTATTGAGTGATGAATTGATGAGTAAATACTGAAAATTGTAAATTACTTGGTAAGGTCAAAAATATTTGGCTGATCAAAGAAATGCTATAGGTTGTTGTTTTAATCACAGAAAAGGAAACATATACACAAATGTACATTTATTTGTTAATGCTGTCAGAACATTAAAAAAAACAACGTATTTTTTGTGAATATGTCCTAAGAGTACTGTTTTGTTTTAATTCTTAACACACTTTTAAAAAATTGCTGTTGTGACATAAGAATGGAAAATAAAAAGCAATAATCTAGCTTTTAAAACAAAAAAATTAATATTCACGATCTCAAAATTCAAATAAGTGTATAAGTGTATAATATAACAACAGGCAGATGAATTAGTTCATCAAGATAAATTAAATATAAAAATTTAAAAAAGATTGCCATGGTTCTTTGTTAGCAATAATGGTAAATTCCAGCTTCCATGCTCTAGTGGACGTAGCAGTATTTGGAATTAATTATTCATTGTGTTTACTTATGCATTGCTTGAGCACCCCACATGCACGTGAGAATCATGTTATCACAAACCTGCTCTGTCTTGTTAAATGCTAGATTTCCAAAGCTCAGACCTGTACCTGGCACCTAGTGGGAGCTCCAGAAATATTTGTTAAATTGATAAAGAAATTTTCCTCCTTACATACACTCTATACCCCCTTCCAACAGAAAGTGAATACATCTAAACGAAAGCCTTAAATAAAAGGCCTTTACTGTTATTTGGTGTTTGGAGATAAAGGAGAAATGGAAGTATGTATGTGTGGGTTTTTTTTAAAAAAGTGTTTAATTAGGATATTGTCTATTTTAAATGGTCCTTGATTTGGGCTAATTGATTCTCATTCCTGTTTTCTTCACGGACTTATTGAGAAGACATACATTAGTTTGAAAGCAGGACATGTCTGGGTCACACTTAACTCTTTGTCCATCATGATGAAATTACCTTTAGTTCTACTAAAAGAGTAATGGAAAAACTGCATCTTAGTTGGATTTCCCCATGTTCTGTCAAAAAATAAGAAATAATAATGGATTTCTTTAGGTTCCATTTAGACCCTGGGTTTTATAAAATATATATCTTGAAATGACTTCTATAATGCAAAATAGTTTTTTATTAAAATTGGTTTACTCTAAGTTCATGTATGGAGCTAAGATATTGCCACAAAATGCTGAGAATACCTACATACTAGTAAAATGCAGAAAGCTACATATTTAAAAAATTCATTTTTTATTGAAACAATTGATTATAAAATAAATAAAAAAATATTATGCCATAACGCCTTAAAAAATATTCTGAAAAAATAAAAAAACATAATCATGTTTACTAATTTTTGTCCAAATTCATTACCTATAGATTTTAGCCAGCTCTGTTTTTCTTCTTTTTTCTTTTTTCCTTTTTGTCTCTTTTCGTGACCAGCAACGGATCGCAACCCTCAGTGTCGCGCCCGTACCAGACCGGGACCGGCAACAGGATCGCAACCCTCGGTGCTGCGCCCGCACCTCGCTCAGCCAGTGAGCGGCCGGCCTGTATGTGGGATCCGAACCCTCGGCGGGAGCGCCGCTGTGCTCCCAAGCGGCGCACTGTAGCAGTGCGCCACCGGGCGGGCCCTAGCCAGCTCTGTTTTTCCAACCCTCAGCGGGAGCGCCGCTGTGCTCCCAAGCGGCGCACTGTAGCAGTGCGCCACCGGGCGGGCCCTAGCCAGCTCTGTTTTTCCACGATTAATCTGTTCACTGCCCCTGCTTCTGAAGGTAGGGTTAGCCACATGGGCTGGCTCTGTAAGTGATGAAAGCCATAGACCATTTGCTAATTAGCCTCTTACCTCCAGAAAGCCATTCTCAACCTTAGGCGGTTCATTGCAAGACACAGGATGGCATGTGGGTATGGGGCTACTCCATTGTCCTGTGGCTTCGCAGGTGCTCTTCTTCTCACCTTTGATGTAGAACCCCTTGTTGCAGCTATAAGCCACCATGGCCCCAAAACTATAGTTTGATCCACTCGCATAGCCGTTCATGATGCTTGGTGGCTCTCCACACCGCACAGGGATGCACTGGATGGACATGGGGGAAGGGTTCCACTGCCCACCTCTCATACATTCAATCTTTGCAGAGGTGTTCAGCACGAAACCTTCCATGCATTTGAAGCTCACAACCGAGCCAGCTGCAAATTTTGCTTTGCTCACAGATTCCAAGATGCTATAGGAAACAGTTGGGGGTTTTTCACAGAAATGAGCTATACAACGGGGCATGTCCTGACCCTCTGGGGGAACCCACTTGCCCTGGGCATTGCAGAGGAGTTGGGAGTTGTCTGCCAGGCTATAACCATCTGAGCAGTAGTAGAATGCAATGTCTCCAAAGAGCCGATGGGCAGTCTCTGGAGAGGCATGGTCCACACTGGGGGGCTCATCGCAGGAGACAGCCAGACACTGCTGGTTACTTCCACTCCAGTTGCCATTGGCCAGGCATTCAATGGTGTCAGGACCAGCAAGAGTAAAGCTATGAGATTGGGAGAAAAGAGACAATAACAAAGCATTATATTTGAGAAAAAGTGTAACTTCTTATTCTGTTTTTATTTTTTATCTTTCCAACCATGACTTTACTTTTATTCTTTAAGATAATATTTGCTGTTTGAATATTGTGCTTATTGATCAAATGACTTTTGTTTGAGATATGTAAACCCATCTTGATTTTAATATGAATAATGTTTGTTCAGAAAGGGAAATGGATTTAAGATTTTTTCTATTTAAGAAACTCTAATAATTGTTACACTTTTATTTTTTTTAAATAAAAACGAGTAAGCGATGGTTCTGTTTGACTCGGTTTAAAATTGGAACTTGATCGGACTTCTGATGGTTTTAATTTGTTGATTTTAGCACCTGTCTCTACTGCAGTTTTATAAGCCATAGCTTACAAAGCTATATTTAGCCATATTTAGCTCATGGTTATACAATTACATTCAATGGACTTTAAAACAGTATTATAATTTCAGTCTCCAATGCTTCCTAAACCTTTACCCATGAGGTTAGAGTTAAAAGGTGTGTTCTGCACATCGCTCTGCTACTTAATCAGCATGAATAAATTTTGCTTAATAATTCTCTTTTTTTTTACACAAGGTGTTTACCCAAATATTATGACATACTGATGACTTACAAAAATCTTACATTAATCTTAAGTGCTGTCTCAATGAAATAGAACAAAATATTAGAATATGCAATATTAAAAAATACATTTGATCCATTCTTATTTTCATTATCACCCTTTTACTGAAGAGAAAGATGACAGAGTTTTGAAAGAATATCTAACACCTGATCAGCCTGTGATTTTGATACTAATAAAGGGTAAGGGGATTAAAATAAATTTGGTACTTAATCAAATCCTGTGCAGACATGTTGATTTCTTCATTTTACACATGAGCAAATGGTGATTCCAACAGGCTTATTAACTTGCCTAAAGTCACACAGCTGTAAGCAGCAGAGTTGGGATCTGAATTTAGTTTATCAGATTCCAGCATCTACACCTTTTCCACAACATTGCTCTCTTTCTCTCTCTCTTTAAAGTGATGTAGGTTAAAACACAATTTTGGGGTGTCCTGTGCAAACTGTATTGCAGTGCCACTAGTACAAATTATTTGACCCACCTGTCAGCAAATATTAAGTCATTAGCTACCAAAAATATCTCCTGAGGTCCCTTACAGTTTTATAAGTGATCAGCTATTATAGAGAGGCTGGAATTCCTTCAGCCTAGTTGCCAAGGTGCAAACTGTATTGCAGTGCCACTAGTACAAATTATTTGACCCACCTGTCAGCAAATATTATTAAGTCATTAGCTACCAAAAATATCTCCTGAGGTCCCTTACAGTTTTATAAGCAATCAGCTATTATAGAGAGGCTGGAATTCCTTCAGCCTAGCTGCCAATATTTATGAAATCTATAGGAGACAGAGAGATCAAGAAAGAAATGATAGAGCATCATCAGAGATATGTGCTTCCACGCTACCCACAGTCATATGTCATGCTATGGACAGATGTGGTCTCCAAATGAATATTTGTAGATATCCCCAATAGTTGAGTGCTGTCTCCTGTTAGAGTCTGCTACAATTCATTGTTTTGGATAAGCTCCATTCTTTGTATAAGGATCTGAACCTAATTTTTGATGGCTTCTATCTTAATGAATCCAAGAAAGGTATACAAAAAAATACTGTAAGAGCATAATTTTATTATGAAAAAATCCATTATTCTGGGTCTGAGTGCCCAGATTCTACTCTTCCTGTGTAGGATATGCTCCGGGTAGACGTTTCATTTGTTGAGGATCCTGATGTTTTATAGCACAACTTATGTCATTTGCACACTTTGAACCATGCATTATTATTTACATGGATCCCTTGATCTTGCTCACATTTCATTAGCTGAAGTTCATAGACATAGCTTTAGACATCTCTGGTTTATAAGGATCCACTGTGCCATCTATAAAATTCTTCCTTTATTTCATGGGACTAGCTGCTTTGAGGCAGAAACATCTGCCTTCGGAACCTTCCTTATTTCTCAAAGTCTCTTGAGAACACAGGAATTGGGTTTTGTAATTGGCAGCACTTTGCTAGGCCTCTGACCCTTTCTCTTCTGGAAAATCTCCACCAACTATTCCTCCCTAATGGAAAATCACAGCTAAAGCTGTTCTATAATTTAATGGAAGATTACCATGAAATACATATTTTTTGCATAAATGAATTTAAAGAATGTGTTTTTGACACTACTCACAATTTCTTAGAACCTACAATACCCCTTGGTCTGACCTAAGATTTTGACTTTTTTTTATGATTCTCAGTTAACATTTAGTTCTTCGCAACGATTCTTAAGGCCTGCTATGTGTCAGAGTCTCTTCCTTAGTGCACAGGCAGGAAGCCAATGCACACACTTGTTTGCGCTTTAGTCACTCCCCCATCTCCCACAACTACCTGGCGCATTGCTGGTCGTTTTGCACCCACAGTGGTTGCTTAAAGGAGGAGAGACTGATTCAACCTGAAGAATGGAAAGGGAAGGAAAGGCCTCACAGATGGAATGGCTCTTGAGGGGAATCACAAGAGAAGTAGAGGAGTAATCATTCAATGCAGAAAAGTAGCACTAGCAAACAATATTGAGTGAAAACTAGAATCTTGTGTGTTTTTTTGACAGGGGTACTGTGATGGTCGATGGGTGAAGATGTGACAGGCATAAATTAACTGTGTGGCATCATACATATATATATATATTTGGTCTCTGCCCAGTTTCTGACACAGAGCTCCTATAGCCCTCATAACTTCCTAAGTGACAGGGGTGCCAGTGCTTTAGATAACTAGATAATATACTCCATGAAAAAGAGGATACAGGTTTCC